GAGAGAGAGAGAGAGAGAGAGAGAGAGAGAGAGAGAGAGAGAGAGAATATCTCTTTTGTAGATGGGCACAACACAATTCCTTTATTTTTTTTATGTAGTGCTGAGAATTGAACCCGGGTCCCACCTGTGCTAGGCAAGCACTCTACTGCTGAGCCACAATCCCAGCCCGAGCAAAATTTTTTAAACTACCATTGCAACCTAATAATGGGAAGTGAATTGAATTTAGTGGACTTTGACTGGCTTTTTGAAAACTTTTTAATGAGGGCTGGGGATATGGCTCAAGCTACAGCACGCTCGCCTGGCATGCGTGCGGCCCGGGTTCGATCCTCAGCACCACATACAAAAACTTTTTAATGAAAGAGCAATAGAAGAAAATACCAGAATACATTTCTTTTTACTTTTTTATTGACATGTAACACACATCTGAAAATTACAAAAACTTGGATTTTTACCAAGTGAATATACCAAGCACTCAAATTAAGATCCAGAACATATCCAGCACTCCAGAATTCCCTCCCTCAAAATGCACTTTTACAGCCAGGTTCAGGGGCGCATGCCTGTAATCCCAGCAGCTCAGGAGGCTGAGGCAGGAGGATTGGGAGTTCAAAGCTACCTTCAGCAAAAGCAAGGTGTTAAGCAACTCAGTGAGACCTTGTCTCTAAATAAAATACAAAATAGGGCTGGGGATGTGGCTCAATGGTTGAGTGTCCCTGAGTTCAATCCCCAGTACAAAAAAAAAAAAAAAAAGCAACTCTTTTACAAGAAATTTTAGAGTTGGGAATGTGGTTTGTTGGTACAGCACTCGCCTAGCATGCCTGAGGCCCTGGGTTTAATCCCCAGCATTGCAAAAAAGAAAAAGTAAAGAATTCTATCATATTAATCTTCTAGTATAACCTTCATATTCATGGTTTATTTTTAACTTTTTAATTCTCCCTCACAATACACACACACACATACACACACAGATTTTGTTGTTGTTGTCCTAGGTACAGGTAACTGGAACAATGCCCAGCACAAAGTAGATACCAAGAATATATGTGGAATGAGTGAGACTCATTTGGAATGAGTGAGAAACATTTTTGTTTCATTACATATATGTATATATGCTCTACATTTTGATGTAAAATTCATTTATTTCTGTAGGTCGTAGTGAAAAAAATTCAGAAAGGCACTCCTACAGCTTAAAAAAGTTATACAAGCTGATTAGATTGGGGAGGTGAACATGAGTGAACAATATACTAATGAGGTCAGTGCTTCTAAATCCACTGCAGATCTTGTCAAAATGCAGATCCTGATTCATCAAGTT